AACTGAATCTACAAGGAGACACAAGAACTGCTGAGTGGTTGAAATAGAGGTGGGGAATCCCACAGCCACAGGTCACCCAGCCACCTGCTTTCCTCCACCGGATTCCTCCCTCCAGCACATTTTGAAAACTACCGACTAGACTGAATTCCTGCAGCAGGGGTGGGGCTGGAGGCCCGGGGCAGGAGAGAGCATGAAGGAGGGAGGTGGTCCTGGTGGTGGTCTCCAGCAGGATGAAGATGCAGAGGAGAGCTGCTATACAGGTCTGCCTGCCCGTTAGTGACAGTGTGACCAGGAGCTTAGGACATCAGGTCTTCCTGTCGATTCCTCTTTCTTCTGGTAAGAGCACGTTCTCTTTGGGGGAACCACTCACTCTTACTCTGTCCAGGTGGTCTGGCCGGGCTTCAGCAGTGATTGGAACCTGGGCACTTAGATTAGTGCATCCCTGTTGCCAGAGTCACTGGTCCAGCAATGGGCAGCTGAATCTATCAGAGCACGCTAAACCTGACCCTGGGATTCTTATAGAGGCAACCAGGAAAAAAGCTGGATTTGACTCTGGAAAGATATAAAACAGGTGGAGTGAGCCAATCTAAACATGAAACCAGTACAGGGAAAAGCAGAGCCAAAAAGCTAGAGAGAGGGAAATTCCTAAAGACTTAATCGAGGGCCTGGATCCAGCCATGCCTGAAGCTTATACAGTCTTTTCTTCTCAAATAATCCAACATACATTTTCCATCTGGTTGAAGTTCATCTAAGTCAGGATTTTGTCACTTTCCAACTGAAACCTTGTGACTAATACACATGGGCAGTTTATTTCACCTCTTTCAGTTTCCATTTTCTCATTTACTGAGTGTCTCTAAAAAATCTATATAAACTTTACCTTTAAGCAGATCTGTACATATAAACACATACATCACAGCAGCAATAAGATATTATCAATAGTGTAAGTATTTTGCATATTTGTTAGTTTTAAAGAAGGCAAAACAAGGATTGGTTAATATCAGTTCACTTTCCTTTCTAAGTGAGAGTGGAGGGGGAATAAAAGTTACATCAATGTCCATTACCAATGGGAATGGAGAAAACAGGAGGAGGCCACATGCTGAGCAGAAAATGGGGAGGGGTCTGATGACAGCTGAGGTTCCCACAGTTCTGCAGATGGGGGCTGAGCCCTAGGGAAGCCCTTCAGCCCCTATAAGCCCCCAGGTTCTTGAGGCCAGGGAAAACTAGAGGGACAATTGAGATAGATCTTTCTTAGGAAAAGAAGGTTCAGAGGCCCAGACCCTATAAATGTGAGTCATGCCCCAAACAAGCCATTGCAGCTCATGGCCATGGCCAACTTCATGCATGGGGCCAGGTTTTCCCTGGACAAACGAACTGGCCTTTTGTGGCCAAGAGAGCTGCTCCCGGGGATTGCCTTCTTGGAATGCCACTGTGGTCTGCTCGGGAACCCTTGAAATCGAAAGCCCTGAGCTCTCCTTGTCACAGCCGTCACACATAAATACCACCAGGGGGGATTTCCCACGGAATTTTTTGCAACCACTCAAATGTTTCATTTCCCATTGTTTGCCAGTCCCTCTCGGAGCCTCAACTGTCAAAGCAGCCGCAAACACAGGCTGCTTTTCCCCCAGGATCCCATGGCGCTCGCTCTTGCGTCCCCTCCATGTTGGGAAGCCAGTGTTGGCAGGATATCATCAGCTCGGCCCGGGAATAAGGTCTGTTAGTCAACTAGTGAAGCAAGTCAGCGGAGGGAATACCCGGCCTGCTTGCTGGGGAGGCACAGCTCTGTGCTGTCACCCTAGTTATTACTATCATCACAGTGACGAATAATTCCATTTATACAAAGAAATCCCTTCCACACGTCTGAAGCACTTGACCAAAAAATACACAAATGCAGCATTAATGTTTCACTTTTAGAATATGAACTTGGTCGGGTGCAGTGGCTCACCCAGGTGCAGTGATGAAATGCCTGTAATCCCAGCACTTTGGGAGGCTGAGGCAGGCGGATCACCTGAGACCAGGAGTTCAAGACCAGCCTGGCCAACATGGCGAAACTCGGTCCCTACTAAAAATACAAAAATTAGCCTGGGTGTGGTGGTGCAAGCCTGTAGTCCCAGCTACTTGGGAGGCTGAGGCATGAGTGAGAATCACTTGAACCCCAGAGGCAGAGGTTGCAGTGAGTTGAGATCACACAACTGCACTCCAGCCTGGGTGACAGAATGAGACTCTGTCTCAAAAATATATAGATATATATAAACTTGAATCACTTTTTTTCTTGATTCCAGGTGCTTTAATGGAATTCTAAGTTGTAGTCCATACATCAGTGCTGAAAAAAGATGATCCATGTCAGCTGAGAACTGATTGACTGATTGAAAAGCACTTGTTTTGAAGCAGGCATTGCCCTGCGTGTTTTGGGGACCCACATATGAAAAAGGCATAGCTGCCTGTGCCTAGGAGCGAATGGTCTAGAGAGAGGCAGAGATCACAAGCCACCATGAGATGTCAGATCAACTAGGAGTTTATTCAGGGGATATTGATCTGAGGGGTGAACAGGAGTCGCCAGGCAGGTACACAGGTGGCCTATCACCAGTTCACACGATCTGAGTACATGTAGGATGAATGACCCCAGGCAAGGATGGGTGCATGTGGCACAGCCTGACCCTGTGGGGATGAGGAATAGTAAGATGTCTTTTAAATATCCATTCACTAGGGCCCACCCACTGTACAACAGAGGCTGCCCTAGTACGGAGTTTGGCCATGTAGTCATTCATTCATTCATCCATTAAAGCCACAAATATTCTCTGAGCACTTATGATGTGCCAAGCAAGTCTAGGTGCTGGGGAGGCAGAGGTGACCAAAATCAATCTGGTTTCTTCTCTTCTGGAGCTTCCATACTGGCTGAGCAGAGGGCCATTAAACAAATACACGTGTCAAATCATAAAGAAATACACAATCCAGTCCGGGCACAGTGACTCACACCCGTAATCCCAGCACTTTGGGAGGCTGAGGTGGGTGGATCGCTTGAGGTCAGGAGTTTGAGACCAGCCTGGCCAACATGATGAAACCCTGTCTCTACCAAAAATTCAAAAATTAGACAGGCGTGGTGGTATATGCCTGTAATCCCAGCTACTCAGGAGACTGAGGCAGGAGAATCGCTTGAACCCGGGAGGTGGAGGTTGCCAAGATCACACCACTGGACTCCATCCTGGGCAACAGAGCAAGACTCCACCTCAAAAAAAATAGAAACATACAATACAATAAAAGACAACCTAATTCACATAAAAGCATCTGCCTGCCCCTCAGTTCCTGAGCTCCCACTTGACACAAAGTGTTGTGGGGGTGCAAATTTGGGTCAATATTTGTGTAGCAGAATTCTGGGGACCAACCAGAACTCCTGAAAAAGGATGCCACTCAGCAGTGATGCCACTCATCACTTTACCGTTTACTTGGCATTTTAAAAAATATATTATCTGTGGACACCTTGGGTCCTGTTGGCAAGCCTGGGGAGGCAGTTTAGGAGTTATTTTCTTTATTTCTCAGGGGAGGAATCCGAAGCTTAGAGAGGAGGAGGGACTGACCGGCTTGAGGTCACACAGCTAGAAAGGCCAAGATTGCTGTGCCTTTTTTTTTTTTTTTTTTTTCTACAAAGAGAACAGCAGAGCAAGGTGGCCATTTTATTTTTTCAAAGTCACATTACCTGCTGGTACAGAGGACATAAAAGTGCAAAATCCCACCAGGAAGGGAAACAAAACAGTCTTGAGACAGCCATGTCCCAGAGGTGAAGATTTGGGGAGATTTTAATATAGGGTGTGAATTCCAATTCACATCTCTTCCAACGGGACCAATTTCCGAATTCCAGGGAACTAACATTCATCAACACCTCCGAGATCCCAGAGATCCCAATATTCCTGCCAAGGGCTATTAAAAGTCCCATTTCCCAGATGAAGAGATTGAGTCCCTGCTGCATACAATTAGACAGTAGCAGAACCAGCATTTGAACTCTGATGCACTCTGATTCTGGGACCTGTGGAGCTCCAGGTACCTAGAGCTGGCTCCCTACTGGGGCCTTGGAGACTGGGTAGCTGGATGCTAGGAGAGGCTGCGGAGGTAGGGCCCAGGGGCTGAGGTTGCAGCGGCTGCCCGGGAATGCAGCCCTTACACACCCACTTTTTAACACGGTGGCATCCCTGACAGACACCCTTGTCCTTTTCCTGTGCTGGCCTTCGTAACACAATAAATAAAGCCTTAGAGTAACGTGACCTGAGCCAGGCAGTAAATGATGGCACTGTCAGTTGTACACGACAGTTGAAACAAACACAGACTGTAATCATAGTGCTGTACGGGGAGAAAGACATTTGGCAAATGAGATTCCATTTTCACATTGGTTTGTGCTGAGCATATAAATTTCCTGCGGGCCGGCCAGCGTTGGGGATGTGTAATTGATTGCCTGCATTATAATAAACAAGCTGTGACAGGTGATCATTCATCATATTCCGCTGAACGTTCCAGCACACCAGAAAACGGAGGAAGAGAGGGAACGCGCGAGCGAGGAGAGAGGAGAGGAGGAACCTGGGGGAGGGGAGGGGGTCGGAAAGACCGAGTATTCCCGACAGACAGAAAAACGAGGGGAGGAGCGGGGGAGGGAATCCGCTGAGCGGGCTGGGGAAAGTGAAAGCAATTACTATAATTCTTTTGATTATCTAATTTGTTCTTTCTGGCCTTCGTTATATGACCCTCCCCCCCTCACCCCACTCCAACATAGAAGGTCCCCCACGGGGACCTGGGAAGGCACAGAGAACGCTCCCTCCACAATCAAGGGGAGGAAGGGGGAAGGCAGGTGGGGGAGGGGCCGCGTCTAGTTGTAACAGGAGTAGATACATTCGGGAAAACCTGGGGG